ACATTAATTCATAGGTGGAACTTGCTGGAAATCAAAAACGGTTTCCAGGTTTGCTGACCTCTGAAACTGCAGCTGCAAGCAAGTGTAACTAGAACTCACAAGCATACATGTGATTCTAAAATGCTGATTTTTTCATCTGAATGCTTTACCTGTGTCTTTTAAGGAGCACTACTATGAAAAGTATCGACCAATTCTGTAATTTTTGCACCATTTTAATAGGTCAATTTTTTATAACCTTTTTTATGACAAATGCAGTCAGTGTTTATAATTGTCTATTGTAGGTATTGCTGGTGTAGTCCTTCTAATAGGTAGTATTTTAAATGAAAGGAAGACCAAGTGCAATGTTTCACTATTTCAGGTTCTGCTACTTACTGAATTTACTTGGCTGAAAATTTCAGATTAACAAACAGGGAAGTCTTCTGTACTCTCAGAGAGTTGTGTACCATGGCCTTCCCTGACTGGTTTACAAACAACAAACAGCACACTTCTATAACTGGAAAACAATTGCCAGAGTTCCTAATGGAAATTGATAAGAGTAACATAGGTGTAGCATTATGAAACACAGAAGATGTACCACCAATGCCTTGGAGGTGGTATATCAGGTGTAAGTATCTAAAGAGCTATGGTACAGAGGACTCACCAGAAATTCAGGCCTACAGTGTTTTTCCAAGGGAAGCATTTAAAAATACAAGAGTCCATTTAATGAGAAGAGCTTTACCAATATTCTGTGGTCAAATATGCCTTTTATTATGTATCAGTTTTATTCTTATTTCAGTGATACTTTGAATAAAAACCACTTTAAATGCCCGTCATACTGTTGTTTGAACTTTATGGTTGCTTTAAGGAGACTTAACAAAAGATGAGCTTTATTTGAAGTGCAAAGTAAGCACTTGTATCTGCTATTCTTAACAGTAAGTATTTCACAGAAGGGATTTACACTCACATGTAACCCGTAGATAGATGTAAGTTCAGGATCCTTCAGTTTCTGTAGATTCAGGACTTTTTTAAAATCTAGCTTTTGCAAGTCTTAACAAAAAAATTCCTTTTGAAATTGCACAAGAACTCAGAAATTAATATTCTTCTGAAGGTGATGAGGCTGATTATATCCTCAACTAGACATAAATTAGTAACAGCCATTAGGCAAACAAGCAAATACAAAAATATGTACAAATAAGTCATCACCATGATAATTCTGTATAATTTGCTCCCTTTCTCTAGGTGTAGGTTTTAAGAAGCCAACCAAGAGTTAAATCGGTCATTGAGTTAAATTGAGGTATCATTTTCGTCTCAATATAGGCTAATTCTAAAAACAATCATGTTCCTTCCACAAGCTGATCATACTATTCACATAGCTGTCATATATAAATACATATTTACACACCCACACTCTTTGAGAATAGTTGTTGCATTTGAGGGGTAGCACCACTCAAGGTGACAGTCATGAAGTTCTTTATAGCAACCACCTTGAAAGGTAGGCTAGTCAGAGTCGTCGCTGCTGAAATAGGAGCTGTCGCAGTATTCTGCCGTGTAAAGGAATTTATGAATGGTTGGATTCATCTTTGGTATCCAGTGTCTTGGCACTAGAAATGTTGAAAGATTGAACAAATCCACAAATACCTTGTACCTGTCACTGAAAAAGACAATTGGAGCAATAAATATATCAGCACAGAAGGCCATAGTTTCTAAATCATCAGAAGTCATTCCATCTCATTTATTTAATAAGGCTTCTACACTAAACCTCCTCTTGAATATTGCAAAGCAAAAATCCAAACCTTGCTGTTTCTAGGGCATAGCAGATTAGGCTTAAAAAGGAAGTAGTATTGCTATAATTACATCTTTCTTCTGAAAATGCAGAGTACGTAGGGTATAATCTCCAGATCTCTACTCTTGTAGTAGAGTTATCTAGGAGCAATGTTAACCTGAAATTAAGGAAGAATGGTAAGGCTTTATAAAAAACAGTGGACCTTCGGTCTCTGAGTTCAATCTAACCATCTGCTTTCTGTTCTGCCCTCTGTTACAATGGTTGTGATGGTAATTGTTGCCCACAGACATACATGTAGTCATCAGCTACATAGTTTCTCTTTGAAAACAAACCTCAAAGATCCTCCTAGAAGGAGGTCAAAATATCCTTGTGCTTTTTGACATAATGTTGTTCAGGACTGTCAGGACACAGTTGTAGCAAGAAAGATCAAATTTTGTGTAAAAAAAAAAGTTCTACCCATTCAGAGAGTTTTGTCCTCGGGCAACAACCATCCTTTTTAAGTTTCTTTTCTGCTTCATCCAACAGAAGGAAACGTTTCTGATCATTGCCTGCACAGCTTGAGAGTACTAATTACTATTGGCTTTAAGAATATTTTCAATCCTAAATTTAAGTACCTCAGGTTGTGCAATTAGAGTTCACTCTAAGGAATAAAGAAAGCCATGAACTGCACAGTGGATGGGACTCACTTCCAGGCTGTGTCACCTCATTAACTTGGGCTAGCTGGCACACCAACTAAACAATGCAGGGTTAATCTTATTGCTACCACAATAACACCTGAGTCTGTTGACTAAGAATTATACATGGCATTTTGCATGTGGGATCAAAAGGAGTCCTTTTTTGCCCCAGAAGGTTTGGAATTTTTATGTCAACTTGATAAGCAAATGTGCAATAACTAGAAGGAGATGCTAGAGTCCCAGAAGAGAAGCTGCAGCCATTTGGCCTAGTGACTTGTCTGAAATACATCTCCTAGCATTTGAGTATTTATGAACAGTATTAGTGCAGGTAGTGGGGGAAACAGTATTCTTACCTCACTGTTGAGCGCAAATACTGGTAGCCTGATGAGCCTCCAGTGCCAGCCTTGCTGCCAATCATTCTGTGCACCAAGCAGACGTGGTTATCTGAGTGACACAAAAGAAGAAATGGCACATGTTCACTCTTTAGATATAACCAAAGAGTCACTGAAATATAAAAGGTTATATGGAAGTCTTTACAGAGATACAGAACTACCAGGTCTTCAGCAATGCAAAGTTAACTCTGCCACTCTTCTGTTAACTAATATAAAATTGTCGTTTATTAAGTATTATTATACATATACACTAATTATTATACATTATTATCCTCTGTTAATACAAACTTAATACATTCACTTGTGTATGTCTAGATAGGGAAGGAGCAGAAGTAATGTTTGCATATAAAGAGATGTCATGATGACATTTTGGGTTACATTGAAAAATAAGTACCTGTCCCTTAAATAAAATAGCACCTAACTCAGAAGTTATAGCTACATCTGTGATCTAATGATCGCAGAAGCAGCTCTTCATCTTTCCTCTTGGTGGAAGTATACACAAAAAAAGTCATTCCTAAACACCACAGCTCAGTTCTAAGACTCTGGGTGTAACTCAGAGACAGAAAAATTTACTTGCATATAAAAGAGGGAGTGTCACTGTCAAGAAAGTGAAACTTACATCTCCATTTGGTCATGAGCACATCAATATCCATAAGGGAGGTAAGAAGCTGAAAGGGAACTTGGAAACGAGGCTCCTCCCTAGGAAAATGAAAGAGAGAACAGTGAGGCCTCTTAGCATATGCTGTACTTTTCAAAGTAGCAGTTCACCAGTGCTTAGTGACTTAATGTATAGTTTTCAGAAATTGGTATTGAAATGTCAGTAGATATTTTAATAAGTGCTTCTGCCATCTAAGACTTGATCTGCACCTTTTCCCTTGTACTTGGACTCCAGATCTTTCTAGGACAGGTAGAACAGTTTGAACAAGGCATTTGCTAGTTACAATCTGAGCAGCATCTGGTCATAGATGAACTTGCTGCCCAGAGGGGCCAAGTAACCTCCATCCTTGAAGATACTCAAAACTCAGCTTGACATGGCCCTGAGCAGCCTGATCTGACCTTTAAGTTGCATTTAACTTATCAGGGTTTCTGTGGAGGGTTGGACTAGATTACTTTCCAAGGCCTGTTCCAGCCTAAATAAACTTGTGCTGTGATTCTTAACCTTTACCTCTCCTCCTGCGAGTAAGAATTAAAGATACATCTTTTAGCATTACCTGTAGAAGTAGATCATTAAGGCCCCCTTAAGTGCTTTGTAAGACAGTCGTCTTTCTCCTGCAAAATACAAGTGTCCTTAGTTTCTTACTGATTCTCCTGCAAATTTAATGCTATTATGTGATTACATATATATATCATGTATTAAAAAAGGTACATAGAGTAATACAATCTACCTTTACTGAGCAGATGTTCATGGCGTTTTTCATCAAATAATGAAAGTAATACATCTCTCTGTTTTAGGAACTCAGACAATAAGTCATCTTTTTCTTCTGATTCTGGTTTGGCCTTTGATATTTAAAACAGAAACAGGTCTTAGAATTCATTAGAAAAAATTAAGCACTTGTATGTCTCATTATGCAGCTTTTATTTTCATCATAAATACTCTGAAGTTACATCATAGATGGAAAGCTGAATTTTCAAACAAGATACATGAGTCACTGTTCTTTAAAGGATACTATTACCACAAAATGTACAATTAAATAGTTTCCAACACAATTCAAATGAATGAATGTTCAAACAAATTGACAGCTTATCACTTTTATTTAATCTTAATTTATTTAATCTTAATTTATTTCAAGTCTGATTTATTTTGTTATCAAGGCAAAAAAAAGTCATTCTTGCACAGTTGTGGGTAAGAAAATAGTCAAGAAAAAAGTTTAGATCAGTTAGAAAGTTGTAAACAAATTCTCAGGAAACTGATTAATTCTAATGACTTTTTCATTTAAAATGTACTTAAAGGTACAGGTATTATAATATTCAGGGATTTTCTAGTGTTTATTTGCCAGTGTAATTTAAATTAAACACAGCAGCAAATGGCCACATACTGTTAAACAGAAACAGGCTATTTATAGTGACATCCCATACTCACAGCTCAGGGGCCCAAACTTTATGTTTACTGTGAACTAATGCAAATACTAACTACAAGTGAAGTTGTACTTTCAGTAAAATCAACTTCAGTCCTTTTATTGATACTAAACCTTCCCTTTTGCAATCAAAATCATCCATGTATCTCATGCTTTAAACCATCATAGATGTCAGATTACAAAATTATTTGGATTTCCTAAAGAACTTGCATTTTTTTCTGCTTGTTACAGGGACTGATGAAGATTAAGTGAAATAAGTGAGAAACTGTGAGTGGGCCAGAAGTCAAATTTATGTTAGAATGTCATTTTGCCAGCTGTCTTTTCTTACATGGTTATAGCTAGTTCAAGAGTACACTATGTACCTGCATCAAGGCCAGTTCCTCTTCTAGACCTCTTGAAACATTCACTTCAAATTGTCCCCAGAAATCAAATTGTTGGGCATTGAGTCCTGGAGTTCTTTCCAGCCATGCCTTTAATAATAATAACAATAACAATAATAACAACAACAACAACAATAATAATAATAATAATAGTAATAGAAGAAGAAGAAGAAGAAGTTCTAACAGTGCAAGCAGATTACCCTAGAATTAAAAGTTTTAGCAACAAATGATAACAGCTACAGTTCTGGTTTAGTATCCTGTGGAGATGCTGAATACTAGAGTAAGCATGTCCATGCTTACATTTATACCTGCATAATGGTGCCATGCACACACCCCAACAGGTTCTACATTAAATGACCAGTGTTGGAAGACAAAACCTGTCTCATTCTAAGGGTAACTTAAAAACAAGCTCCCTGGTAGATACAGAAACCAATATTGTTCCACATATATATGGGATAATTGTAATGATAAATCTCAGATGAAAGATATAGACCCATCTATAGAACCAATTTTTTATCATGACAGACAGGCTGAATACTGATCAAGCTGTCTGTCATTAATTTACACCACAATATATGACGATACAAGATAGAGAGCAAAACTTTCCCTTTGATTTCCTTTTAATAATGGGACTGAAATTAGGAAGGAAAAAATATCCTCAATATCTTTCTTGCAGTGAAGGGCCCAAAACTGAACACAATATTTGAGGTGCAGCCTCATCAGTGCCAAGTATTGGGGGATGGTCACTGCCCTAGTCCTCCTGGCCACATGATTTCTGATCCAAGCCAGGATGCCCCTGGCCTCCTCGGCCACCATTGTGTGAATTTTGTGTATGAAAATGACAAGAGAGTTTGAGAAATTACTCTGAGACCAAGTCTTTAAGTCAAGCTAAGTGATAATGAAATATTTGTTAAAGATATTTTCTCCTTTCCGCTTTGGGTTGTCGTTTTTTCTTTTCTTTTATTTCTAGTCTCTCTAGTAGAGAGGTTAAATATTTCCACTAGCAGTGGAACTATTTTAAAGTTTTCTTCTCAAAAGGACTTACTGTCACGAAAAACAATGTGAATGAAACGGTACATTTACATTCTTAGCTTGCACTTCCACAAGGCAATCTGCTAGTTTAACATGTCAAGAGTTTTCAAAATCAGTTGGTTTTCTAATAACTAACTCTCTTTCATACAAAATTTGAATAAGAATGTGTATAC